TTCATAGCCAAAGAGTACAAGCTTCCAATAGGCTGAGGGGAGACCCCGGTGGCAAAGGTCATACCACGGAACAGCTTTTCCAAATAAACAGCTTTTCCGAATCATTTATTGGTTAAAATCTGTTGCTTAGTATAGTAAGTCACACTAGGGTAAGTCTATTGAATCAGTGGGGATTTAGTGAGTTAATTCCTCTCTAAATTCCATTTTGGGTTGCAACTAAGCCCATCTGAATCAATGGTGAGCCCTAGCACCCAATTTACAATTCCTTGTTTCACACAGAAATACACAGAAATCCATGTTCTCTTTTTAGTAGCCTAATCTAGATTTTTATTTATTTATTTATTTATTTTTGCTGATGCTCTTGTTTGACAGTCAAAAGCATGTGCCATTCTTCCACAAATTACCAAGAGACAGGTTACCTTTTTGGAATACCAATCTCAGAATTCCCCCAGCTAGCCTAGACATTGTAACTTCTCTAAATACTGTCTTGGAAACCAACCAGTAGAACCGGATCTATGTTCTGCTCTCGCTGAGTCTACTGTTACTTAACCTAAGTGTCTACTGGTGAAATAATACCCATTCTTTCTCTTCTAATCCCTCCCTCCTCTTCTCTCTCACATCCTTTATCTCCTCCCCAACCACCTACCCCCAAACCAGTTTTGAGTTGTAGATTGTGTCTGTTTGGGATACAGAATGTAAAGTGCCATGGAAATGGAGGGTTCTAAATAAATAATAGGTGAAGAAAAATAACTGTTATATATTAGAAATATTTTGGGAAGGTCATAGTGCACCACATCTGCTTTGTGTAAGATGCTTTTTTTCTCCCAGCTTCTGCAGGAACAGGAGTCATTTCTGAAAAAAAATCACAAGATACTAGAAGAAACAGTGCTCTGTTCTTCCTTTAATCAAAGTGCTTAGAAAAGCTAAGGTCGTGCTTGATGGATAGTTGCTATCCAGAGCTTGAATAAGTTAGTTTTTGGGATTGCAACTCCCCAAATCCTCTAGCAAGCATGACCAGTGGGGATTTTGGGAGTTGTCATCCCAAAGAGTAACTTTTTTCCAAATTTCTATTACTGTTAAGGGAGCTAAGCAGCATGGACAAAGTGGAGTCCTTCAGATATTGTTGGCCTATGCAGCTGATAGTGAGGAATGCTGAGAGTTGTATTCCAATGCCAACTGGAGGAATACTTTGATCACCTCTGCCTTAAAGATACTCCAGATTAGCCCAGCTCTTTTCAAAGATATGATTCCTAAGAGAATGGAAGCTATATTATTGGATTTGCCTTTTTGTGTGTGTTTACTATAGCCTAATTATCTAAGACTACACCATTATCCATATATAACAAAAGAGGTTGCCAGATGCAGAGCTATCTATGACATGTTTTATTCATTTGTAAATGACGTGCTTCCCTGCAAAAGCGCTTGGCATCCTTTTTGATTCTTGCTCTTAAATATTTGCATGCTCTGCCTGTGCACCTCCAGAGCAGCTGTGTTTGCACTTCAATGCTAGCTCCACAGATGATAAAGCAGGACTAAGGAGCACATGCCCCTTCAGATGTGGGTGCACAACTCCCATCATCTCTCTCTACAGGTTATGCTGCCTAAGACTGATGAGAGGTACATTCCCACAACATCTGAAAAGCCAAACCCTACTGCAAACCCCTGATCTTTTGGGTCTCTCATTACTAAGTTGCAGCTGAGTTTAAATGTATTGCTTCAGCTTTAGACAGTGGAAGACAATCCCAATTCAGTTTCTGTGGTCAAGGTGCTGATTATGACCTATAAAGCCCTTAATAGTTCAGAACCTCAATTCTTGTTTGAATCTCTCAGAAATCAGTTACTTCTTTCAGCTGCTCTTCTCAGTCCATGTTACTAAAAGTGGCCATACTAAGGGAGGTCAAAAAGATGATAACAAAGAATCAGGCCCCCAATCTTTGAAATAAGTTACCAACAGAGACATACCAGGCTCCTTCCCTCCTCATGTTTAGGAAATTGATAAAAACAGAATTATTCAAAGCTGCCTTCAACAACTGATTCTCCCAGATGCTGCTCATTTTTAATGTTAATTTTATTGTTTCCCCTCTTTTTGTATGAATTTCAGTCCTATATTTTTAGATTGCTTTATTGTTGAAGGTAATTTGTTAGCTGGTTTGTGGTTTAAGTTTTAACTTGGAAACCACCCAGTGCCTGCACTAGTGGGGGAGGTCTATAAATCAAAGAAACAAACCCCAAAGCTCCTGCTTCCCTGTGGCATCAGTTTGCTACTGACTCTTTTGAACAGAAGAGGCCTTGCTTTGGTTCATAGCCAAAGAATACACGCTTCCAATAGGCTGAGGGGAGACCCTGGTGGCAAAGGTCATAGCACTACCCACTCAGCTAAGGAGGTGGAGGCATCAGAGACAGCTTAAGACACTGGTTCTTAACCTTGGGTTACTCAGGAGTTTTGGACTGCAACTCCCAGAAGTCTTCACCACCAGCTGTCCTGACTGGGGTTTCTGGGAGTTGCAGGCACTACCCACTTAGCTAAGGAGGCGGAGGCATCAGAGACAGTTTAAGAGACTGTACCAGATGACGACGGAGTCACGGGTAGGAAAGTTGGTTCCATGAAGACTGTAACAGATGACGACAGAGTCACGGGTAGGAAAGTTGGTTCCATGAGGTATTTGCCTTTTTGTTTGTACTTGAGATGCAATGGCACTGAGGTGTAGTGGAACCACCCAGAAAAGACAAAGGGGCTGAAAAATTGAGTGGCGAAAGGTTAGGAGATGGGTCCACAGATCCAATGACCCTTTGTCAATAGTTATGCAATAAAGCTTTTGTTTGTTATGAATGCTGTTTGACTTTCCTTCTGATGACCAACAGTTCTAGTGGTCTATTTGATGCCTATTTGTCTATGAATGCACTGAGCACCCCCACAGGGTCATTAAATCACTTCCCACTTAGAGTAACCTTATGCAGTTTTCAACATGTGAGATATTTAAATGGGCGGCTTTCTCCAGTGCTACCCACCCCACTGAGTCTCCATGAACAAGCCGTGATTTGAATCAGGGTCACAGTCCAACTCTTTACCCACTACACTAAACTAGCTATTGCTAACAATTATCTAGTTACTGTTCACTGTAACTTTCTGGAAGCATTTTCACAGGAAGCTTTTAGGTCTTTTATAATTATCCATATCATTATTTAAAAGAAAAAAAAACATACTGGAAGAGTAACATATACCACAACACGATGGCCAAACCTCTGTTGTGCAGTTATGCAAACAGTGTAACTGTTGGAAGAGAACATCTGTAAATTAAGAAATCTGTGTAGACATTATCTGTTACATATCGAGTCGCATAACTCAACATGCAACAGATAATACCTACAGAGATTTCTCAATTTATGGCAATTCATGTTTAAGAGTGAAACTGTTTGTGTAACTGCACAACAGGATTTCAGCCAATCTGTTACACTACAGACATTGTTAACAATTTGATCATTCACCCTTTTAAAACTTCAAGTAAAGTGGACCCTCGACTTACAGATGTCCCCACCTACGGACTTTTCGATTTACGGACTTCTCCGGCCACAAAATTTCCCATCAGCTTGCAGCCGGAGAATCAATCTACGGACTGGAAGGAGGAGGTGCGGAAAGCGCCAAATGCAAATTTGGAGCTTTCCCCGCCTCCCCCTTCCAGTCTGTAGGTCAATTGTCTGTTGGTCCCCCCGCCGATCATGTCTGTGGAGGCCTCCCAGGGCCAAACAATAATCTAATATGAGCTGGACAGTTTTATTTTGTTTATGCTTTGCATAAACAAAATTTACCAGATGATAAAGTATTTTAAATTATTTGTATGCTTTTAATCTGGTTGGTGTTCATTTATTTGTTTATTTCTGGATTTTAATGCACTCTTAACTGATTGACTGGTGTAGCTACCCAGGTCCACAGATGTAGCTCAGTGAATGTGACTCTCAAGTGCGTGTGGAGTACACATTCAGGAAAGCTGGCTAACATACAGCTTAATCATAATGAGTTTTGTGGTACCTCATATGTGAATTTAAATAAAGAAATTAGGGAGCAAAGCTTTTGCCATAGAAATATCTTCATGATGAAGGAACATTTCTGTATGTAATGATGTGTGTCAAAGCACAGTAGGAGTCCAGTAAGACAAAAGGAGATAAGGAAGATAGCAATCTTATCGAATGAGATTATTAGACATGGCATCAAAAGATACCTGAAGTAGGCCATGCAAACTGATATAATCTCAGATGTACTGAACTACCAGTACTGCTGGTTAGGATAACTAGATTCATAATCCAATCCATTCAGAAGGCACCTCAGTGTAGGGTGGACTAGACAAAAACATTGTGATTTAGGAAACTCATGTGGCTTGATTGCCATTGGTTGTTAACTTTTTTATTTTTAACCTATATTGTTGGCTACAATTCTGATTGAGGGAATCCCCATTTAGATCTCATGGTATGGAAATATCTTTAGTGTTGTTTGTGTGGCAGGCGGAAACGTTGGCCCTTGGCTAGCAGAAAGCTACAGCAGGATGTCAAATGAGTCCCATTATCTGTGCAGCTTCAGAAAGTGAAATAATTGACAGAGAGCCCAGTGCTACTCACTCATTTGGAACCATGCCCTGGAGTTCACATAAAACAAGTACTTTTATTGTGCTGCTTCCTCCTCCAGTTCATTCCCCCTCCTCACTGCTCCCTCCTCCTCAGTCTGTATTCCAAGCAAATAAAATCACCAAGAATGGAGAGCCCAAAACAAATTGTTTGTGGTCTGGGGTTAGGAAAAAGAAATAAGGCCCCCAAAGTTGTATGGAGACAAAAACATTCCTTGTAACAGGGTATATTCTGGAGAATGCATTCAAATATCCCACACGGTGCTCCTCTAACCAAGGGCAGTCTGGGACAGTTCTATCCTGCTGGCGCCTGATTTTATTACCAAACATTTAGGAATGACCCTGACCCTAAATTTAGCTTACACGCTATAGAATTTTTAGTACCTCAGGGGAAGGGCACTCTGGAGTGAAGAGGCATGCATCTCCGGTGGGAACAGTGATGTCGGTGCAGTTTTCGTCTTGAGGCCAGGTTAGCTGAAAAAGAACAACAGAAGAGAAAGAAATCAAAACAAACCCTAGCGAAATCCTGAGCTGAGAAAAATGAGACTCCCAATTCCCAAAATTCCTCGACTAGCATGGCTGCCGACTCCACCTACACCTCAAGCTTTGGGGAAAAAAATTACATTTAGTTCCAGAACCAAAAGTGAGGCTGCCTGGAGGATTGTGGGAATTATAGTAAAAATGTAGCTTTCCCAATATCTAGAGTAGTTATTATTGGAAGTCTTTGGATAAAACACATCTGTTTGTTGCAAGATGGCACATTGCTTGCCAGATTCTCCCGAGACAGGAATTCTTTTGACATAGTATTTTCAAATTTAACTTCTTAATCATGTGCTGTCCTGTCAATTCTGGCCTATAATGACCCTTTTCAGGGTTTCCCAAGTAGAGAATACTCAGAAGTGGTTTAACATTTCTTCTTCTGGGAGCACCCTGAGATCATGCAGCTTGCCCAAAATCACACAGATTGCCTTTCCTTTCAGGAGTCACAGTAGGGAATCAAACTCTCAACCTCTTGCTCAGCAGGGAGCACCCTGAGATTATACAGCTTGCCCCAAATCACACAGATTGCCTCTCCTTGCAGGAGGCACAGTGGGGAATCAAACTCTCAACCTCTTGCTCAGCAGCCAGATGCCTAACTCACTGAACTATTCAGCCAGCTTTCGACTTTATACTGGTTAAGAAATATTACCTGGGAGGAGCCGCAACAAGTAACACTAGATTACCTTCTTCAAGCAAAACTACAGAGTAAGATTTTTACCATTTTTATAGTTTTCAAAGTTGTAGCCATGTTAATCTCTGCAAGTACCGTATTAATTATTGTGTAATTGCTCTGCAGATTCAAAGGGGCAAACCTGACTGTTGTAGGAGGACTTAATCATTGTGTAATTGCTCTGCAGATTCTAAGGGGCAAACCTGACTGTTGTAGGAGGACAGCAGCTTTGCTGTGGGGAAACTGACAGATAGGTTTTATATTTCCTAAACTGAGGTGGTTCCTCAGTTGTAATTAAGAAGTTCCTTTTTGGATTTTGAGGCATGTACCAATTTGCCATGCAGGCTTATGTCATAAAATCCAAGTAAACACTTGTTAATTAGCAATGAAAAGCCACTTCATGTTACACCATTTGCCTTCCACAGATGTAACTCTGCAAAAAGATTTTGGCCATTGTATAGTAACAAATAACATAATAAGCATTTTTACATGAAGCTTCAGTTGTCCATGAAGTTTGATCCACTTGCAAGTATTTTCACACTGCAGGGTGAAGTATGTCTACTCACAAGTCTGCACAAATGGGTTCAGTGAAATTTACTTCTGAGTATGAATGCACAGCATCAGCCTGTAAATGGGAATCCTCGATTTCTCACTTACCTTATAATAAATAAATCTGTGCTTGCTTAGCAGTCAGTGTTGAAGCTGCAATTCCTAAACCTGCTAGAGAGTAAGCCTTATTGAACATAATGGGACTTTTGATTTGAAGTAAACTGAGCAGAATTACTTTGAACATCTCAAACAATTCGAATTACTCTTTTATGTTTCCTGGAGTACACTGAATAAAATGATTAAATGGAAAAGCTCTTCAGACCATTCAGAAAACAGTAATGATTTAGGTATTCTCATTGTTGTCTCTTAAATTTTGTATATTATCTAGTACATGGTTGCTTGTGTGTAGAGACAAGAGTAGTTAATTACAGTATATCAGAAGAGTTCTGTGAGAAAATATGAGCCCATGGAACAACAGAAATAAGATGAGTTCGTGGGCAATAGAAATAAAATACCATCAAGCTAGAGACCTTCAGGTAGTGTGGGCGGCATATAAGTTAAATAAATAAAATAAAAATAAATAAAACAATACCCCCTTCTGCTTAACACTCAAGATGTTAATTCTCTCTGCCTCAGTTCCTTTCCTTGAATAATAATGGTGGTCTGTCTCACAAGATTATTGTATGATAGTAACATTTTCATCTCCAGATCCATCAGCTCCACCCATCATGGCTAATGGAAACAGGCTAGGGGGGAAATGGTTAAAAACACCTGGAGGGCACATGAAAGGGATAAGGAGGACGAAAGTGCTGTGCATATTTACTGAGCACTGTTGATGGATCTGTGAACCTTGAGCTGCTAGAAAGTGGGAAGCTCAGTTCCTTTTACAGGCAGTGTAGTAGTTTTGGTTTGTATTTAGGAAGATGCTCATGGGTGGCCTTAGAAAGCTGCTGTTGTATTCTGGTCTCTCAAGAGCCACAAAACTCAAATGATGGTTGCTGTTCCTAAAATTCCGGAGTTCGATATTCTAATGGCAATAATATCACCAAAGCCTCTGCATCACTGTTGCCTAATGAAATGGATAAGCAGTCTGGCCCAGAGTGGCTCTTCTCTATTTGTATAGGTCTGAAACAGTTTAGGTTGAAGGAAATACATGCTAAGGGAAACTGCATTATCTCAAGATGCTGGGGAAGAAGGCAACAAGTGAAATTTTATGCAAGTCAAGATGCTGACCACAAAGCAAGCATTCCCATTAAGTTCTATACCTAGTATTGTGACTTGCTCCCAAGGCACCCACCTACTTACTGACAGATGGAGAAAGTTACTTTTTTGAACTTTGACTCCAGAATGCCCAAGTATCTCCCCTCCCCATCTACATGCACACACAAGTTCTTGCAGGGGACATCAGCACACATTCGTGCCAGCCCCAGAAACTTTCCAAAAAGAACAAAGGAAACAACCCAGAAAGGTATTCTGAGCAGGTATGTTCCTATCTACACCCACGCTTTACTTGCAAGCCTCGTGATGCAGTGGTTAGCAAAAGTGTGCTCACAACCTGAGTTCAATCCCATGTAGCTGGCTCAAAGGTTCATTCAGCCTTCCATCCTTCCAAGCTTGGTAAATGGGGAGGGGGAGAGTAATGTGTACCCTGCGTAATTCAATTGTAAAATGCCCAGAGAGTGCTTTAAACTCTATGGAGCAGTATAGAAGTAGCACAATTTTCTTTTCTTAATTTTTGCAGGATACCTCAATCTTTTTGTACAAATAACGATTTACCCTTAAAAGAAATATCTCTTCAGCTGCAGCAAGGTGGCTTTATTTGTGCTGAGAAATGTGTACCCTGTGTAATTCAATTGTAAAATGCTCAGAGAATGCTTTAAGCGCTATGGAGCAGTATAGAAGTAGCACAATTTTCTTTTCTTAATTTTTGCAGGATACCTCAATCTTTTTGTACAAATAACGATTTACCCTTAAAAGAAATATCTCTTCAGCTGCAGCAAGGTGGCTTTATTTGTGCTCTAACTGGAATCTATCTATCTATCTATCTATCTATCTATCTATCTATCTATCTATCTATCTATCTATCTATCTATCTATCTATCTATCTATCTATCTATCTATCTATCTATCTATCTATCTATCTATCTATCATTTCCTTCTGCTATTTCCTTCTATCCTTACTAAACATGATCTTTCTCTCAACTTGAAGAGGGAGAGACTGGAAATGCAGGCTCCACCAGCTGGTAGACAAGCAATGCCCCCCCTCCTGAAGCCCAGTTCAAGCTATTAGCTTTATTAATGAGTCGTATCAATAAAGTTAATGAGACCACTGCAGAGTTAGCGACTGGACGGATGTCTATTTTAATAAGAAAAGTGAAACTCCTTACTGAAACCTCTGGTAAATGGACATCACTCATGCAAATCCTTACTCTTCTAATAAAATCATTCAGTTTCCTTCAAATCTTGGCTAAAATTCATTGACAGAAATAGAAATCCAAGATATTGAATTTCTGAGTCAGCAAAGGAAAATGAAGTTGACGACCAAAACTGCACGCCCTAGGTGCTAAAGGTGATCAAAGAATTGTTAAAACCATCACAGCAGACAATAAAGCAGCTGTCCAGTCGGGAAGTAGCTAAATACGACTCGAACGAACACACACGCACACATTTCGGCATATGTGCATTAGCACACAATCTTTGCTCCTTAGTTTCCACAGCTTCCTCGGCGAATTTAATGTGGCGAAAACATCAATACCCGCCTAGCCATACGTCAAGAAAGCTTCTGTACACTTCATCCTAAGAAATTTTGCTCACACAAACTCACGCGCGGATGCAACCGACAGGATCCATCCCACAGGATGCTGAACTGGTCGTCTACTTAAGCGCTGGATAAAAGAAACGGGCTTGCCCGTCTGCAACTGGAAAGTAGATGCAACATCTCTCAATTCATAGGTCTTACGGCTTCAATGATACTAGCGTGTCCGCGCCTGCAATTTAGTACCATAAAATACTGCACGCTGTACAGGGAAGTAGTTACTGAAACAAGAAAAAAAAGAGAGAACATCTTCCAAAAAGAGAGGTCTTACCTGGCCTCTGTCCGGTGATCAGTAACGTCCCGGTCAGGAGCAAAAACCAGGTCAACAGGAGTCGTTGGAATCTCATCTTTGCAGGCACGGATCCAGCCCGAGCGGTTCCGATCTCCCTAACTCTTGCAGCAGCAAATTGAGACTCTCTTCCGGAAAATGTGTTTGCAGCCGTGTCTCCCTTGCCTCACTCGGCTCCCATTCTGAGGATGACAAGATCTGGAAAGCCTCGGTCGCTCCCGGTAGCTAAGCTAGCTGCCTGCCTGCCTGCCTGCCTCTCTCCCGCGCGGTTAATGATCACAGAAGACAAGGTGACTCTTGTCTGCAACTGTGCTCAGGGCCGCCCTGGCTTTCCCTCTTCTGCCCCCTTTCTTTTATCACTCCCCCTTCGTTTCCACAAGCAAACAACAGGAAGGAGGCGGGAAGGGGGGGGCCCTTTGGGGACAGCCCCTGGAAACCGCAGCTCCTGTCAACGCCCGTGAAACAATGAAGGGTCCCGCTCCTCTGGATTCCTGCCTGCCCAGGATCCCATATGCAAAAGGAGCCACACAGCCTGCCTTCTCCACCCCATTTGCAACTGTTTATACTTTGCTGCCTGGTCCCATCTTGAGCAACCCCCCCCCCCCGCCTCCTGCTCCCACCAGGAGGAAACGGGGAGGAAAGGACAGGAAGCTTTTCCCTTTGTCCCACTCTGAAAGGGCCATGCTTAAGAGCATCCCACAGGGGCCCCTCGGGTTGATCCCCCTCTTCACCCACCCCCACCTCCCAAATCTTTGTCCCTTATCAATTAGCTGCAAAGTAGCATTGATTCAAAGCAGAAAAAAAAGAGTAACAAGCCTAATGTCGTTTGTTTTGTTCTTGTTCAGGGTTCAAGTATTAGGTAGGATATTCTGTGGTGTTTGAAACCAGGAGAGAGGGGTTAACTCCGGAACTACTCATAAATAATATTTTGAGGGGGGAATGGGATAAAGTTATATCCAAATTAAAACTTAAATTCTTGTACAAATCCACTGCTGCTGCCTTATTTTATTGTATTGTGCACATCATCACAACCTTACCACGTATTTTAGTAATGATAAGGGACACCACTCTTTTTAAAATTAACTTTAGGAATGGCTTTTTTAAAATGGCATTTTACAAGTCCCAGTGAAGTGACTATATTGTTAGAGAAGAGTTGCTGCTCCTGTAACAAAAAAACGACAGATTGGATTATCATCAACCTTAAGGCTTCTCCAGCCAAGAAAACACAAGATCAAGCTTTAGGAGCAACCTGTGGGGACGCCTGGGTCGAAGCGAAACAAAGCAAAGCAAAGCGTGCTGCTTAAAATGGCATTTTACAAGTCCCAGTGAAGTGACTATATTGTTAGAGAAGAGTTGCTGCTCCTGTAACAAAAAAACGACAGATTGGATTATCATCAACCTTAAGGCTTCTCCAGCCAAGAAAACACAAGATCAAGCTTTAGGAGCAACCTGTGGGGACGCCTGGGTCGAAGCGAAACAAAGCAAAGCAAAGCGTGCTGCTTATGTACTGCAAAGCGAAATGAAGCAAAGCAAAGCTGCCCCACAGTGCTTAAAGCACTCCCTGAGTGGTTTACAGTTGTATTATGCAGGCTGCACATTGCCCCCTCCTGTGAGCTAGATACTGTACTCCATTTTCCAACCTAGGAAAGATGGAAGGCTGAATTAACCTCCAGCTGACTACCTGAGCCTATTGTGATTGAACTCAGGCCATGGGCAGAGTCCTGGCTACAGTATAACCACTGTACCATGAGAGTATGACATTCCTTTGCAGGTTGTCGTGAGGTATGTGTGAGCACATGCGTTTTGAGTTGAGGGAAAGCAAGATATGGGGGAAATGTGAGACATAAGGAGAGCCAAGTAGAGAGATAGGGCAGGAGAGGTAAAACCATGCAAAGGGAAAGAAAGAATGCTAGACTCAAAGGAAAGCAAGGTATTGTCAGCGCAAAGGGATCCAGTGCGTCAAACGTGTGTGCTAGAGAAAGACAGAGTAAACACAGGAAGCTCCTGTATCCTGAGTGAGCTTGTCAGCACAAAGGGATCCAGTGCATCAAGCGTGTGTGAACACAGGGTGAACACAGGAAGCTCCTGTATCCTGAGTGAGCCCTTGATCCATCCCGCCCAATGACCAATAGGAGGATCTTTCAGAATGGCCTTTCCAGTTTTGAACTCCCACATAGTAAAGAATGAGGAAATGCTAAAACAGGGTGATGAAAATTATAATATACAGGTATTTTAAATTTGAGGCTCTCCATGAATGTGGGGTCTGAAGCAAATGCCCCTCCTGCTGCCTCCCATGTTAGGCCCCATCTCTCCAGCATTTAAGGCCCTGCTGCTTTTTTAGGGTTTTAAGGGGCTTTCCCAGAGATGATAGTCCCTCTCCATGTCTCTGCACGGTGGATGGCGAAGCCTAGCAGACTCCCCATTCTTGCCTTCAATCTTACCCTTGATGTTGTTGGATCAAATCTCCTGTAATCTTGGCTGTCTGGCCATTCTTCCTGAGACTGGGAGAAATTTGTGTCAAATTTTTATCTATTTTTTATTTTAAAGATTTTACCTTCACTTTTCTTCTTAAAATTTTATAAGGTGGCTTACATCATTTACTGTATAATGCTAAAAAAATAGGTATATAAGTACTAAAAAGGATCAAATAAATACCACCAAAATAACGTCTGGAGGACCACCAGTTTTCTATTCTTGTCCTGAAGCTGTAAATTAGGCTTATTCAAACTAGCATCAGAATAACGTCTGGAGGACCACCGGTTTTCTATTCTTGTCCTGAAGCTGTAAATTAGGCTTATTCAAACTAGCATGTTCCCATCACACCAGCCAGTGCTGAAGAGGACTGGGCTGTTTGGAAAGTCTAGCCCAGTGCATCTGGAGGAGACCATATTCAGGAAGGCTGACCAAGAAAAATAAAAGTTATAAAGTGAGAAAATACAATACACCCCTCCTGCGCTACCATACTGATAAGAGAAATATCAGGCTCTTGTCCGATGATCAGATTTTTCCAAAATTAGCTGACTGTTATTACCAAATGTAATTTTAAAATTAGCTGACGGTTGCTAGAAATGCACAAGCTGAAAGTACAAGAAGGGCCAAGTGGTCGGTCAGTTTTGCTAAATAAAACTCCAGGCTGTTGTTGTTTTCGAAGTTCAGCAGTCTGTCCAGAACACTCCTGCTGAACCAACATGTCTTTCAGAAAATATAATATAACCTGCTGTTTCCTCTCCAAGGTTCTGCGCTTCTTGCATCTTGAGGAAAGATAGGTATTCAGCAAGGGAGGGAGATTTCCAATCACTGCATTGTCATCTTGGGACATCATCATAAACGCTGCAGCTGCATTTGAGGGCAAGAGAAACCTCACATGCAGAATTGGTTCTCAACTCCAGCAACCTCACTTCTCTTTTAAAAGCTTATTTCCTGTTTTACTGCTTGTAGGGGACTTCTCCCACCCTATATGTTGGTCTACAGTTTCTATTGTTTTGTCTGGCACAGCCATTGGATGTGCCATCTGGGGCTGTTGAGAACTGTAGTTCAAAACACCTAGAGGATAGAAAGTCATGGAAGAGACTGTGTAGAAGGGAAATGGAATATTGTACAGGCTGACCCACAGACTGGAAATGTTCAATACACTTTCCAGTCCTCAAGAAAGGAGATGCCAATGAGTGAAACAACAATAGGACCATTGCTTTAGTTTCCCATGCAAGCACAGTGATGCTCAAGATGTTGCAACAAAGACTTTTATCTTTTATAGAGTGAGAGATGCCCAATGTTCAGGCTGGATTCATAAAGAAAGATATCATATTGCAAATAACTGCTGGCTATTGGAGTGCACCAAAAAATTCTGAAAAAGATCAGTCAGTGTTTTATAGACTACAGCAAAGCCTTTGACTGGATGAATCATGTGAAGGTATGGATGGTAACTTCTGAAAAAGGGAGAGCAAAAATACAATAAAACATCAAAAAGAATTTTAAAAGTTATATATCTGTGAAGAGTCTCATTCATCCAGATTAGGTTATCTGAAAGTTGAGTCATGGCAACTGGACTTCTTTCTTGCTAGTTTCAAATGTTTCACTACTCATCCAAATAGCTTCTTCAGTCTATTTTTTAAGTTACATACTAACAATTCAAGAGCTTATAGCCTAGTAAGGAACATTTAATCAGCAGAAGACAAAGGATACATTTCTTAAAACATTAAAGTTCTTAAAAGTCTCTCTCTCTCTCCTCTCAATCTCTCTCTCTCTGTATTCTTAGCCTCTAAGCATATTTAGAACATACAGAGAAAATTAATTTAAGTGTTCACCCAGTCAAACCAGTGTTGTGTCACTTCTGTGAAGGGAAATCCATTATGATTTCTGCTGTTTGATATCTGGTGCCCAAATCAGCATGAAGTTGTGATGATAAGCTGAGTGAATGAAAGTTTGTCTTATCTCCCTATATTTATAATTCTCGCCAATTGTTTTCATTTCCTCCTAACTATAAACAAAATCTATCTGCAGTCCAAATGGTTAAAGGTCCAAAGAAAAACTTCAACTTATTAGTTCCTGAGGAATTTAATGTTTTTATGCTGATGGTACTTAGCTGTACCTTTCAATCCCAGATTTTCTTTCTGTGTTCAAACTCACATTTCAAATTGTTTATATGATATTTCATCTCATATATCCTTTACTGGAATTTAATTAAGCTAAGACTGATTTGCTTATTTTACTCCCTCCAAGTCCTCTTTTTAAACACTTTTTAAAAATAACATAGCATGCATGTATTCTTGGTTTTATTTTGATTCATCTCTTTTGTTCTTCATGTTAAGATTTATCTTCCCCCACTTAAGTTTGCTAGAATTCATCATTTGTGTATTACTGGGTTGTTTATGTGGTTCTGTGTTATTATTATTGTCTTTATTTTCCTTCTTTCTTTTTTCTTTTGGTCTTCTTTCTTGTACCTTCTTTAGTTTTAAAAAAGAAAAAGTTAAAAAAGAATCTATCTTTTTCTTTCTTCTTCTGTGAAGATTTTAATTAATGTCTTGTGTTGCATGTTTGTATATCGCTGATTTTATTGCAGCACACTCTGGTATAGAGTGTAATATAAATTATAATCATCATTATCATCATTGATTCTTGCTTAGATTACTGTACTCTTCTTTCAGTTGGTCATCCACAAACTCATATTAACATTATTTTTTGTTATTCACAATGTAACAGCAAAGGTTTTGGGGGGGGGACACATAATTTTGACCATTTTAGTTCCCATCTGAAGGGGTTTTTTTGGCTCTCTTTCTGTCAGTTCTAGGACTCAATATAAATTTATTGTTCTCACTTTTAAATGTCTCCCTTGTCTATCTGTTTCATATTTTTCAGCCCTAGTTTCCTGCTGTAATCCCAATTGTTCCCTTCTTTCTTCTGGTTCTGTACTTCCTACTGATCTGGGAGGTGTCCTGTTCTTTAACCTTCCTCTGTCAATTCTTTCTGTTTGCTCTGTATGCCTGAAACCATCTTCATGTACATTTGTACTCTGCCTCTTCATTTAGTGCACTTAAATCTCTGT